GATGGAATCTCTTAATATATAAAAAGGGGAAGCTTTTTATTCAATATGACACATTATAACACGCATATCAAGTCAATACAACTTATTTCTCGGCTTTCTAACAATTGAAAAGTTCTTATTTTAATCATAATTCTTCACATACATTTGGCTTCGAATCGAGGGTCCGGTTGAGGACAAAACTATTATTCAGTTTTAATCCGAGCCCAGCCTTAACGTCACAACTGGTTTGGTTATTCATTTTATCTTTAGTTCGTTTATCTAACATTCTTGATTACTCGTATTGAATCAATCCACATATCCTTAAAATTACGTACAAATTTAATTGTTATCCGTTTCAAGGATAAACAAAAGTCTAGTTGTAAAAGAAAATTCTAGAGCCTTAGAAGAAATTTACATAGTAGGTTTCCTTATTTGGATTTAAAATATAAAGGAAAATTTAGTATTACCCGTTTAAAGAATCAATTTAAGTTCTTATTTATTTAAGTCATGCATATATTGTACAAGTATATTTCATGGGGTCCAACAGGAACTTATATTTTCTTCCAGACAAATTTAAGAACTTAAATAATATTCTTATGCGGATTTAATTATTGGACGCCATAATTAAATCACGTAATTAGATTTGAAAATCTACTGATGACAAAGCTAGCATATTTGTTTAATCCAACTTGATCTTTAATAGTTTTTGTCCATATCCCCCACAAAGTTGGATTGCATTTTCTCTGCTTGTCTACACCTCTCTTTTAAAAGGCGTTTCTGGGGCAAGTCACGGGGCGAGGCATACCAAAAATGCCCCGGGACGATGGTGTGGGGCGAAAGTCTCAAGAAGCGTACGCTCCGCAATTTGGAGCGTATGCCCGGGCGTTCGGGGCGCGTTTTTTTTAGTAAGGAGTAAGCCCCAAAGAGTTTTTCAAATTAAAACAAAATTTATTGAATTATTCCTTCATATAATACTCAAATTCTCAAAAGTGAGTTTGGTAATTACTCAAAAGTATTAAATTTAAAAGTAAAGACTTTTTTTATTGATTTAAGCCCTAATTCATGGTTTTCCCAAATTTTTATCTTGTCCACTAGTCTGCTAATATCTCCCAAAAGCAACAGATATTTAATTTTTTTGCAAATACAAAGAGAACTACATTTTTCTTCATAGCATCAAATTCAAAGTTCAAATTGCAGGTTAATTATCCTTTTTGTTCTTCCATATAGAAAACTTTATTCTTTTAGACTCAAATTACTTGTACTTGTAAGTAACGTATAATATATTGTTTTGATTAGTTTTTTGTGGGGATGGAGCACACATATATATAGTTTTCTTTAAATTTTATGCAATTTTACCTGTTTATAAATATTAATTGTCATTATATTATTTTATAAAATATTAAAAATTAAATACCTATGAGGCTTATGCTCCGCTGAGGAATATGTAAAATACCTCGCCTTACGCCCACACTTTTTAAAACACGGGTCTATAGAGCCTTTTGCCTCGTGGTTGAATACTATTAAATATTACTCTCTTTCTATTCCGTTTGCCACTTTTTTATCTTTTTTTAATGTCTCAAACTTATGTTAGCGTTCCAAAAATGGTTATCTGTGCTCCAAGATTACCATTGAGTATGTGAGATATTGTCAACACTTTAAACGTTCGCATTTTCTAATTAAATTGTCCCTTTTGCATTAACCTTTTTAAGTGAACGCGGAGTTAAGATATGTAAGAGATTGTATTAAAGAAGTACTAATGAAAGAAAATGATAAAGGATTATTAAAGTTATACTTTGACATAAACTCAATCATCATTTAATTAGTTTAAATATGTTAATAAATTGGCAAAACACGTATACATCTCGTTCAACTTGGCTCCATTTTTCATTTTCGCACTCTATCTCAACCTTGTTCCATTTTGGCCCTCTAACTATATTTCTTATGTTTCATTTTAACGTAAAAGCTGAAACCAGTGCAAAAAAATATAGCGCGCGTGTATACACAAATATGAGGTGTAATAAATATCCAATTAAATATTGCTCATCCTTATCAAACGGGTCAATACTAAAATATCTGACCCAGATTTCTTGGTGTCCATGATACTTTCAGTTCAACTTAAAATCCATAAGAATAAATATCCGTTCCATTATGAAAAAATAATATTCTTTGAGACATGGATTCACTTCAAACTTCAAGCTTATATGAAATAAAGGATGAAAAAACCAGGTGGCAACATTTAATTGGATATTTATTACATCTCAGATTTGAGCATACACACGCGCTGTATTTTTTTGTACTGGTTTCGGCTTTTGTGTTAAAATGAAACATAAGAAATAGAGTTGGAGGGCCAAAATATAATAGGGTTGAGATAGAGTGTCAAAATGAAAAAATGGAGCAAAGTTGAGTGATATGGGTTTGGCCTAATAAATTCAAGTATACTATCAAATATTTTGGGACCCTTCAAATGCATTACATTAATTTAACCCTTAAAGGAGCATTAATCTAGTAGGTAAGGCTCGTTCTTTGTTTCTTTGGCCATGAATCATTTTCATGAATTTAAAGTGCTTAAATTAGATATTTGAAGTTTTTCTTAGTTTTCACATTTCATGTTCATGAAGTAAAAAAAATATTTAGACGAATAGGCTAATTAATCATTTCCATGAATCAACAATTTTCATGAACATCGTAGGCTAAATAGTACTATTAAAATTTACGAGTTGATGGTCAGGGAGTCTTTCTCAAGTTTCTATGACATTGTTAATTTCAATAAAATTGGAGAAAATCTAGAAAATGCCTATCATTAGATTTTGCTTCTACTTAGAAGTAATCTAAAATTGCACGTCCAGATTTTCTCACCTCATGTATATGCCGAATACTTCCCTTTCTTTTATTTGTTGGGGTGATGAGGGAGTAGTTTTGCATAAGCGGTATTTGCTTACAGTAAACAATATTAATTGTATTTGTCTGAACCATTATTGGTTGATTAATCATTTATAGCTTACTGCAATAAGGTCTGGCGGCTAATTACGTCACTTCTTGCGTTTCAAGATTTGATCCTTCAACAATAAAAAACTAAACGTCGTACAGGTAACAATTTTTTATTTAGAAAAAGAGTAGGTTTGGTCCTTTTTCACATTTTTATTTACAAGTTTTTCCCTATTATTAAAAGATTTTACATATCAGCCTTCAAGTTATCAGATTTTGTAGATTCGCTGCAGTTAAAATGTCACATGGCAGTGCTTACCATTTTCCATAGAAGCAAGTTCACTTTTAGATTTCACTTCTACAAGAAGATTGTATTCCCAGTAGTTTTAAAAAATTTATCCATGCATGCTCCTCTAGAAAATTACCAGTAGAATTTCATTTCGGTATTGCACCAAAGATCAGCTATTAGCTCGTTTTTTTGTTGTCTTGGTGACACACGGCATATTCAAGGGAGCTTTTAAGGTATATGTTATTTGCAGATGTCATAGTATTGATTGATGAGACACGCGACGAAGTTAACAATAGACTGGAGGTTTGGAGATAGACACTAGAGTCTAAAGGTTTTGGGTCAGCGTATATAGAGTGCAAGTTCAGTGACACATCGCATGAGGTGGATATGAAAGTGAGAATTGATACACAAGTCATCCGCCTAAGAGAGAAAGTTTCAAGTATCTTGGGTCAATAATCTAAGGATATGGAAAGAATGACGATGATGTCACACATCGTATTGGAGCAGCATGGATGAAATGGAGGCTCACATCTGCTGTCCTGTGATAAAAATACGCCATCAAGACTTAAAGGTTAGTTCTATAGAGTGGTTGTAGACCAATTACGTTTTTTGGGGTAGAGTGTTGGCCAGTCAAGAACTCATGCACACGTCCAGAAGATGAAAGCATCAGAAATGAGGATGTTTAGATGGGTGTGTGGGGATACTAGGAGAGATAAGATTAGAGACGATATACGGGGCAAAGTGAAAGTGGCCTCCATGGTGGACAAGATGCAGGAAACGAGACTAAGATGATTCATCATGTGAAAGGAGGAGCACAGATGCACCAGTGAGAAGGTGCGAGAGGATGGCAATGACAGGTCCAAGGAGAGGTAAAGATAGACCGAGTAAGAATTGACGAGAGGTGATTAGACAGGACATGTCACATCTTCAGTTCACCGAAAACATGACCTTAGATAGGATATAACTATGGAGGTCGAAGATTAGGATAGAATGTTAGTAGGTACTCGAGCGATTTCTCTCTTTTGTGTAAGAGAGCTTGGTTCTAGTTTAGAGCACCTTAGTTGCTCCCTCTTCTCCTTATCCGAATTATTATTATTAATCTTTTATTACAATTATTTTTTTCACTTTGATTGTCTTTACTATTTTTGCTGTCAATACTTATCCTTTTTTTAGTATTTTCCTCATGTATTTTTTACTCTAGTATATTTTTTAAATATGTTTTGAAAATGCTTTTCTTGAGTAGATTGGAAATAATCTCTCTACTTCACACATGGTACGGGATAAAATTGCGTACGCCCTACCCTCTCTAAAACCCATTTATGGGATCACAATCGATATGTTGTTGTTGTTGTATTAAAACCTAAATAAAAAACATATAGAAAAGGCAAGCACAAGAAGCTTATAGGTAGTGGATAAATGGGGTTGTTTTTTGTTTTTCAAGAAGCTGATATAAGTGAGGGACTGAAAGTTACAAATAAATAGGAGTATATACTTATGGACAAAAAGCTTTCCATTGGATTATATTAGCGCAAGTGTCAATCGTCTCTTGCCTTCGAAATCTTGCGTCAATATTTTATATATCCAAGGGAAAATTATAGTCAGTGAAATATGGCATATTCTTTTTTAAATATGGCAGATTTATCATGGATTACATGTGAAATTAATTTATCTTATCTTCCTTACTGTTTTACTTTCCTTGTGATGTTTTCTTTCATAATTTTATTGTCTCTAGCTCGAGGTTTACTGCTGATATAAATTAGAAGGACCCTTTCATTGACGTTGAGAGTTGAAACAATTAATTCTTTTTAAAAGCTTGGTATGACCCTTCCAACTTCCGAAATCCAAGAAATCTTATGAAACATCGGTTAGTTCATCTCGCATTATAAATAAAACACCAAAAAAGCCAAGAGGGATCGTGTAAATCTGAAGAGAGAAAAAAGTCCATTTTGAGCTAAAATTATGGATGATTCTGATCAATTTGATTTTGCACAAGTAGAAAACCTCTTACATTTACTTTGTTCTCCTCCTCCTCCTCCTCCTCCGCCTCCGACATTGATTCCTCGAAAGCAAGATTCATCAGCTTCATTACAAACACAAAGCCCTAAAAGGAAAGCTGCAATCACCAATTTTGATCAAGATGCTGGCAAAGGCAAACCCCCTAAAGAGAAAAAGAATACTGAGAAGAAAGTCGTACGCAGAGACGTTGAAAGGCAAAGAAGGCGCGATATGGCTCGCCTTTACCAACGTTTACGCCTTCTTATCCCTTCTAAGTATCTCATGGTCAGTATACAAATATTTGCATATATTAAGAATGTCTTTGCTACGACGAAAATTGTTTTCCATGAAAAATATTTTTCTTGATTGGTGAATGAAAAACACTCTCTGACAATCAAACACCTGATATGACTTTCTCATTGAAAATATTTTTCATTGTCATGTCAAATTAAGACACCAAATCAAGTCAAATATCTTTGCATTATACATGTGATGTTCATATTCAGAAACCATAATTCTGATCTTGTTTTATGATTATATATTTATATAGGGAAAGAGATCAATATCTGATCATCTAGAAGAGATTGTGGATTACATAAAAGACATGCGGAAGGACATAGAGGAGCTGGAAAGTAAGAGAGAAAGATTGAAAGAAATGAGAAATATTTGTAGTTCTGATCATATCTCTCACTTGGCTGCACCAGCTTCCTCCTTGAAAAGTGATGAAAATCAGGATAGAATAAGAGTGAAAAAATGTAAGGAAGGAGTGGAAATTTCAGTGATCAGTAATTTGGGAGAAGGGTTGACTCTTTCCAAAGTGCTTAGGGTTCTTATGGAAGAAGGGCTGCTTGTTATTAGCTGTGTTTCCTCCAAAATTAATCAAAGGAGTCTTCACATTATTCAATCTGAGGTATGTGAGCTTATCTTCTCTTTTTCTCTATACATTTATTTCTGAGTATTTTTAGGGTCAAGAACTTAATGTAAAGTATCATAATATATCGTCCAATAAGAACAGTTTTAATTTTTTCGAACATTTCAGTTCATAGACATATATCAAAACTCCTTTAACTTACAAGCATAAATTAATTTGTACTACTTTTAGAGAATTGGACACACATCATACTATATTTTTTGAAGAGTTTAAGCAACACAGATCGAAAGTACTGAACACGTTTGGAACTTATTTATGTGCAGGTGAATTCAAGAGGGGATATTGATTTAGTAGGGCTGCAGTTCAAGTTGATGAGTTTATCTTATAAATTATGATATTTTCCCCCCTTAATGGTTCCTTCATTGTTTCATTTATTACTTTTTGAGTGGAATGGACTTATCATTTTCTTATGTATCTTATCTCTTCAATTTTTATTTTTTAAAATAAATAAATCCGTCTTTAGGTGACTGGGTTTTTAGCGTGGACCCTTACCTTTATCTTAGCTCTTCCTCTAAAACAAAAGCATGAAATCAGAGATCTTTGAGCTGTTCGCAATTAGAATAACTTGGTTTAAACAGAAAAGAACTTTCAGATTGCTATTGCGCTGCTCTTATTATTTTCAAGTTTTCCAATCTTAAAATCACTGGTTACACAGTGTGTTGAGTCGTTGACAAATGTTACTTCCTTTGTTCTCTTTTACTAGTCCTTTACACTAAATAAATTTTTATTTATTTGTTCATTTTAGCAAATCAAAGTAAATTATTTCTTTTTAATATTACCCTTAGTATTAAGCTCTCACACTTCTCAAATTTATCAAAATTTATAATTACTCCCTCCGTTCAAGTTTACTTGTCCATTATTGACTTGGCACACTCCTTAAGGAACAATAAATAATAAGATAATTTTAGTATATCACCCTTATTTGTTATATGTCGGAAATAAATTGGAAATAAATAGTCAATACTCCCTCCGGTCCGCAAATAAGTGACCATTTTGTCTTTTTATTTTGGTCCAAAATAAGTGTCCGTTTACATAATCAAGAAAGAATTAATTTTATTTTTCTAAAATTTGTCCTTATTTACATATTCTAATGTGTCGAGGTAACAATTAATTAAGGTTAATTTAGTGAATATATCTTTTTTTTCTCTAGGAATTCGTATTTCCTTAATGGGTGTGCTAAAGGTAAAATGATCACTTATTGTGGACCGGACGAGTACTTAATAAGCAGGATAGAATAAGTATAAAATGAAAAATAATTCATTGGTTTTTCAAATTGGACGAGTAAACTTGAACGGCGGGAGGATTAACAAAGATAATTTAGTAAAACCTTACTAAATGATTTCTTAAGAAACGTCAATATCATAACTTCATAAGGATTAGTAAAAAGGAATGGAGGATGTACCAACCATCCTCCGCGCTTAAAAAACGAAACTAATGAAAACCGAGGGATTGGAGTACATTTATTTATGAAAAAAACACTTGCACATGTTTCGTTTGTTGCATTCTTTACTTTTTGTTTCTGCTGTTCTCAATATAATACTCGTAAGTACCCTCCCCCTGCCGTTGTAATTGACAATAATTGCACCTCAATTCATCCGACGGGTAAAAAAATTTCTTGTCATCCATCCTGTGATGGTGCAGGGTGTAGACTATATAGCTTTTCAACGTTTCGGTATAGAACATTTTGCCAAAAGATGGTTGATGGGAAAGCACTTAAGAGCCCGTTTCGCCATGAAAAGTTTTTTATATTTTTTCGAATTTTTTTTCACTTGAACATAAATTTTGTAATTTTTTTAAAATTTTAAAAAACTGTTTTTCAAAATTTTTACTCAGATCACTTACAAAAATTCAAAAACAATTCAAAATTATATTCATGTCCAAACACAACTTTAATTTTCAAATACCATTTTCACTTGAAAAAAAAATTCTTTTTCTTTTTTTTTTCGAAATTTTACAATTCTTATGTCTAACGCCCACTAAGTAGCATCAAATTCAAATTAAGGTTACAAGTAGAATAGCTTAAAACCTAATTGTATCTTTTTCATATTTGATTGAGCCGCCTTTCAAAGCTGGTTTAAGAAGGTATCCTCACCCATTGTGTAAACGATGCTTACAAAAATAATATAAAAAAATTCTTAAAGATATTATTATTTTATTTTATTTAGGAGTGTGTAGGCCTGCGATATTCAAACTTCTCCTTTCAAAGTCATTTCCTCAAAAGAAGTACAAAGGTCATGAAAGAATTGAAATGCTGGTGCAACCAATATAGCCAGGGATTTTTTTTTCTTTATTTTACTACTTGTTAATAAAAGGGACATGCCTGTTTGTTCATGAGGGCAATTTTGGTAATTCAGGCTGAATTCGTTATTTTCATTGGTCCATATAGGAGTTACTTTAGGTGTTTTGATTTTCTTTTACTGTGCAGACATTTTAGTCCTGAATATGTAAACCTCATCCCAACTGTCATTCACATCTGATTTTTAGTCCTGAATATGTAGACCTCGTCCGAACTTTCATTCACATCTGATTCTGTAGTTACCTTTATGGTGGACACGTGATTGTACCGAGAGAATTATCTTCTCTCTTGCCTATTATAGATACAATGAACAAACAAAAAGTAATGATGGCAAATACTTTTCAAAAATCAAAGTCCAAATATTAGAGTCTTGTCACGACTCGAAACTCAGCGCATGATACTGGATAAGCCGACAAATCAGATATATCAACACTTTTAAAATAAAAATATACTAAAATAGATTTAAATAAGTGAAAAACTCATAAAACTAGATAAAACCATCATAACTCGATACAGAAGTTTTCCAAAATCAGGATGTCACTGAGTACATAAGCATCTATACAAATATAAAGTCTGATACACTGTCTAAGAAAAACATAAACTGAGGGATAGGGGAGGAGAGTCAAGGTCTGCAGCTACCTCGATAATCTCCGAATGACTGAAAACTCTGAGATCTGCAACCACCGTGTCTAGAAATACCTAGATCTGCACACAAAGTGCATGGTGTAGCGTGAGTACAACCAACTCAGTAAGTAACAAGTCTAACTTTTGGGTTGAAAGCAGTGACGAGCTTCGCAGGTACAGTTCAATTACAAAAATACAGTACAGAATTGTAGGCATACTTCCAAGTTTAACAATTAAAGTTCAAACAGCTAAGATATATCAAGTGCAATTGAAACAAGATATGGTACATCTCGATATCTCTCAGAGTATCACTCACTTAGTCCTCCCATTCACTCCATCTGTCACGACCTAATTTCCTTTATAGGCCGTGATGGCGCCCAACGTCGCCGCTAGGTAAGCCAACAGTGCACTAAACCATGTTATTTCTCTTTTAATAAGTTTTTCAAGTAATTAAATTCTATTTAATAATAAATTAAGGAGGGAAAAATTTAATAACTGAAATGAAGACAACTGAATGGTAATCATGACGATATAAGTACTCTAAAATCATAAAGTCTACTAGTGTGTGTGCCAAGATCTGGAGTCACAAGTATATGAGCACTAGTAGAATATACAAAACTCTAACTACTGTCCGAAATAAAGTAGACAGAATATAAATATAAAAGAGAGACTCTAGGGGCTGCAGAACGGCTCAGGAAGCAGCTCACCACTAGGCCTCGGGATATTTGGGATGCGCGCCGGTAGGACCGCCAGTTGCACATGCCTCAGGTCCTGCACGATTAGTGTAGAAGTGTAGCGTGAATACATAAACAACATGTACCAAGTAAGTATCTAGTCTAACTTGGAAGAAGTAGTGACGAGGGGTCGACGTCGACACTTACTAAGGGCTAACAATATGAATACAGAAATTCTAAATAAGCATGAGTTATGTAAATAATTATAGTAACTCATTAACAAGCAGGAGCAAATAATTCTTTCACATTTTAATAAATCCCAAATAAATTCCCGTCATTTAATAAGTGTAACCTCATAAGCCACCAAATAATATCAAGTATGATTAGGCTCCGAGTATTATTAAGCACGATTTATGTCGAGGTCGTACGACCCAATCCAGAATAATGTGTACACTGCCGAGGGACGGGCGACACGATCCATAGATGAATTTATCTACTGTCGAGGCGTTCGGTCCGCTCCACAAGAAGAGATGATACTTTATAAGTATTTGACTTAAACGATATAACAAGGCTAATACACAATATAATAAATGTTCCATTAACAGTCCAAATAAGTGAAATTCGGTCTTTTATAATTTCTCTAACAAGTTCTAATGTAATTTAGGCACTTAAATTAACAAATAGGGTACAACATTACAAGTAATTCATGATTTGGGTCCTAAACTACCCGAACATAAGCATAAATAGTAGCTACGCACGGACTCTCGTCATCTCATGTATACGTAGCCCCCACAATTAGAAGCAAATATTAATTTAAATCACATATGGGACAAGTTCCCTCTTACAAGGTAAGACAGGAGACTTACCTCGTCTCAAGGCTCATTTTCTGATCACAATTTCTTCCTAAAGCCCTAACTCGGTGCCGAACAATCCAAAACTAGTCAAATGTTATATAAATTATCAATACATGTTCAAAAGTTCATATTTCAACTATTAGAGTGATTACCCAACCCCAATTGAAGGATTCTAAAATTTACCCCCCGGCCCACGTGCCCGGATTTCGCAAATTTTCGAAGAAAGTTGTTACCAATAACCTCACGAACTCAAATATATGATTTTCACTCAATTCCTAACCATTTTCGTGGTTAAATCCCATTTTCGTCAAAACATAGGATTTTCATCTAAACCCATAATTTCCACAAATTTACATATTAAAATCTACCTATAATCTCTGTATTTAACTTACATTAAATAGAATTTACTTACATCCAAGTTGCTAGGTGAATACCCCTCTCAAGAAGCTCCAAAATTGTCCAAAAGTGAGAGAAATGGGTTTTAAAAGGCTTAAGTCCCGTAATAAATGAAGTTCATTGCCTCCGGGACTTCCGCTTCTGCGGCTCCTTGGTCGCATCTGTGGACAGGGCCTCGCAGATGCTGTCCTCCCCTAAGCTAGCTTCCTCGCTTCTGCGACCAGCGGCTCGCTTCTGCGAGACTGCTTCTGCGGTGAGCATGCCGCACCTGCGCCTGCCCCCTTCTGCGATTCCCGGGCATCCTTTGCTGGGCCGCTTCTGCGGTTGCTGGCTCGCACCTGCGGCTGGCCTTCTGCAAGTGCGATTGCACCAGAAGCTGGATGCTTCATCTATTTCCTCTAAGTCTAAAACTTGGTCCGCGCCTCGTCCGATTAACACCCGAGGCCCCCGGGGCTCCGCCCAAATATACCAATAAGTTTGAAATCATAAAACGGACTCGCTCGCACCCTCGGAACACAGAAAACAATATCAAAACTAAGAATTACACCCAAACTAAATTGAATCAA